ACTATGTAGAACGCACCGAGTCCGGCAGACGACTTCGGACTCGGTGCGTTCTACATAGTCTCCCTGAACATAAGACCAAGTTGCGACGAGGTCAACCCACTTCTAAAAGGATTCAAGTTTGCTTATATCTCGAAGTCTACTTTCAATGAATGTAAGTAGCGTAGTCGATAGTGATGGCAAAATACAAGTTCCTCATTGAAATCATATAATTAGCCTATTTCGTCTAAATAGACGAATGAGGGTAGTTCAATTTTCCCACACGTTTCCCCCTAATTTCACTTAACTTCTCTTCCTAAAAGAAATTCTCACCCCACAGGAGTTGATTGCAATTTCGACGGTGAACGTCATAGCAAGTACTAACGCTTCCAGCACAACGCCAGACTGGCACGAGTGTCTCTGGGTCAGGTGCCAGACGTGAATTTTATTCCCATATCCCTTGCTCTGGTGGGCTTGCCGAAACAGCAAAGTTGTATTTACTATGACACTTCACTGCATTACTTATTGTTTCCTTATAAGTAGTACTCGAGTATATCATATTTCTGCGATTCATCCACCCTATTCCGTATTAAATGGTGAATAACTGTGATTCAGGCACACCTCAAGCGGTGTGGCGCAGTGATAGCATGTCGAGATTGTAGCCCGCATCATCCGCTTTATTTTCATGCCTGCCTATTCGTTCTTTTTTGGCTACATCTTTTCTAAAGCCCTCCATCACCTTCATATCCCTCTAAAGCACGGATTTTCCCATCGCTTATCTGGGGATTCCGATGTTCATCAATCCATTCATACTATACATCATTAAACTGAACAAATTAATCCACCTAAATGAGCGCCGAAATTCACTTCATTCCGCCTAACAGACTGTTGACAATAAGATCAACTTTTCTAATCGGCCTCATGATTTAGGACTTTGTGGACGCGTACGAAACAAACATGTAGACCTAAGAATTTGCAAGCGCTCGAGTGGAACCTTGCTGGAGCATTCGGTGATACCTCACTTTATTGTGATCAGGTCAAAAATATGTGATGAGAGTGATTACGTTTGAGGAATCCTTTAATCTCTAAAATTTGAAACAAAATCACAAAGTGTTGCAGGAACCCTTGTTAGCTACATCACTAGCATTCCACATGCTCTCTAGACGTACACCACTCCAACGCAAACCGAAATGAGTAAAATTAAAAGTGGAGAGAATGTGAAGGTAAATCAGGAGGAAGTAAAATATATACTTTATTTTTCGAATTAGGTATTGTTTTCGTGACTACCAGTAATTCAGTAATATGAGGTGTATTCACCCAATTTCGTTTAAGGTGATGAAAGACTGGTAGAAGAAGAATTTTT